TTAGATTCAGTCTCTTCACATAATTTCATATTTCTTGATGGTTTTGCTTGTTCCTTTTCATTCTTTTTTCTCTAATTTTGTCTGCCTTATTATTTCAGAAAACCAGTCTTCAAGTTCTGAAATTCTTTCCTCTGCCTAGTCTATTCTGCTATTAATACTTATTATTGCATTATGGAATTCTTGTAGTGTGTTTTTCATTTCTATCAGGTCAGTTATGTCCTTCTCTGTACCGGCTATTTTGCCTATCAGCTCCTGAAATGTTTTATCATAATTTTTAGTTTTCTTGCATTGGGTTACAATATTGCCCTTTAGCTTAGTGAAGCTCATTCCTATCCATATTCTAATTCTACTCCTGTCATTTCAGTCATCTCAGCCTCAGCCTAGTTCTAAACCACTGCTGGAGAGGTGGTGCGGGTTATTTGGAGGAAAGAGGGTACTGTTTTTTTCAGTTTTTAGTGTTCTTGAACTGATTTTTTTTCCTCATCTTTGTGGGCTTATCTATCATAACTCTTTGAGGTTGCTGAACTTTGGATTTTTTTTTCTTTTAACAATCTGCCACTTTTCTGTAGGGCTGCTGTCTGGGATCTGCTCCAGTTTCTGGGGGTATGCTCCAGTTTCTAGTCACCTTGGATTTTCCAGTACCTGGAGGTATCACCAATGAAGGCTGTGAAACAGCAAAGATGGCAGCGTGCCTCTTTCTTTGGGAGCTCTGTCCCAGGATGGTATAGACCTATTGCTGGCCTAAAGACACCTGCATGAAGTGGCTATAGACCCTGGTTGGGACCTGGTAGACCCTGGGATGGTCTCCAGTGAGGGTTGGGAGGTCCTGACCAGTAAGGAGGAATGGATTGGGGACTTGCTTAAAGAAGCAGTCTGGTCACATTTTAGTAGAGCAGCTGTGCTGTGCTGGGGGACCCCTTTTACTCCTGGTTGGTTTGGATTCTTCAAAGCCCACAGGGTAGAAGGGTCCATGGGGTGGAAGGACCAAGTAGCTCAAACAGCAAAGATGGTCACCTGTCCCTCCCACTGGGAGCTCTATCCAAGGTAGGTGCAACACTGCTGCCAGTAGCTGGCTGGAATTTCAAGCCAGTGAATCTTATCCTGTAAGGTGCCATGGGAGTGGGGCCTGCAGACTGTTGCCGCTTGGTGCCATGGATTCAGTCTCTTTCCTTGGGATATGTATGGGATGTAATATCCTGCTTTGCCAGAGTTTCAGTTATTTTTGCTGAAGTATCTAAAGCTCCTGGGTCTCCATGCTTGCCTGAGTGACTGCTCTGCCAAGACTCCACATATCTCTCTGTGTCAGACTGTAGGCCCTGGTGGCGTCGGTTTATGAGGAGTTCTCCTGACCCAAGAGTTGTAAAGCTCTGTGGGAAAAGCATGGTTTTTTGGGGTCGCACATTCACTCACTGCTTCCTGGGTCGGGGAGGTTCCACAGGCTCCTGGGTGTGCCATCATCCTGCCTTGTTTTTTTCTGTTCTCCGTGGGTCGAGTTGTTTCCTTGATTAGTCTCAGTGTGAGTTACCTGGGTGTTTCAGTTGAAGGTATTGTATTTATGCACCCTTTCATTCTCTGTGAGAGCCACTCACCCTAGCTGCTTCTAGTTGGCCATCTTGACCACTTCCCATGTATTTTTTTCAGATTGTTCACTATTGGCCTATAGAAATGCTTTTTGTTTTGTTTTGTTGTGTTTTGAGACAGGATCCTGCTCTGTCACCCAGGCTGGAGTGCAGTGCTGTGATCACAGCTCACTGTAACCTTCACCCCCTTGGGTCAAGCGATCCTCCCACATCAGCCTCCCAGGTAGCTGGGACTACAGGTGTGTGCCACCACGCCTGGCTAATTGCTAATTTTTGTATTTTTTGTAGAGACAGGGTTTCATCATATTGCACAGGCTGGTCTCTAATGCCTGGACTCAAGCCATCTGCCCACCTCGGCCTCTCAAAGTGCCAAGATTACTGGCATGAGGCACTGTGCCTGGCCAGAAATGCTACTGATTTTTGTATGCTGATTTTGTGTCTTGCAACTTTACTGAACTTACCAGTTCCAAGGTTTTTTCTTGGTGGAGTCTTTAGGTTTTTCCAAATATAAGATTATGTCATCTGCAAACAAGAATAATTTGACTTCCCTTCCAATTTGGATGCCTTTTGATTCTTTCTCTTGTCTGATTTCTCTAGCTCTGACTTCCCATACTATGTTGAATAACGCTGGTGAAAGAGGGCATCTTTGTCTTGTTTCACATCTTCGTGGAAAGATTTTCAGTTTTTTCCTATTCAGTGTGATACTAGCTGTGGGTCAATTGTCTACGGCTTTTATTGTGTTGAGGTATATTTCTGCTATACTCAGTTTTTTTCAGGGTTTTTATCATAAAGGAATGTTGAATTTTATCGAATACTTTTCTCACCATCAATTGAAATCATAAAGTTTTTCCTTTATTCTGTTGATATGATATATCACATTGATTGATTTGCATATGTGTTGAACCATCATTGTATCCCTGGGATGAATCCTTCTAGGTCATGATGAATGGTCCTTTTAATGTGTTGTTTTTTATTTTTATTTATTTATTTATTTTGAGATGGAGTCTCGCTCTGTCGCCCAGGCTGGAGTGCAGTGGCATGATCTCGGCTCACTGCAAGCTCTGCCTCCCGGGTTCACGCCATTCTCCTGCCTCAGCTTCCTGAGTAGCTGGGACACCTACCACCACGCCCGCCTAATTTTTTTGTATTTTTAGTAGAGACTGGATTTCACTGTGTTAGCCAGGATGGTCTCGATCTCCTGACTTTGTGATCTGCCCGTCTCAGCCTCCTAAAGTGCTGGGTTTAGTGTATTAATGAATTTGGTTTGCTAGTCTTCTGTTGAGAATTTTTGCATAAATATTTAGCAGAGATATTGGCCTGTAGTGTTGTTGTTTTTTTTTTTTAAACGTGTCTTTGTCTAGTTTAGTATCAGGGTAATACTGGCATCATGGAATTAGTTTGGAAGTATTCCCTTCTCTGTTTTTTGGAATAGTTTTATTAGGTTTGGTAGTAATTCTTTAAATATTTGGTAGATATTAGTAGTGAAGCCATCAGGTCCCAGGCTTTTCTTTACTGGGAGACTTTTTATTATGGTTTTGATCTTGTTACTTGTTATTGGTCTATTCAGGTTTTGGATTTTTTCATGGTTCAATCTTGGTAGGTTTTATGTGTCTAGGAATTTATCAATTTCTTCCAGATTTTCCAATTTATTGGCATATAGTTGCTCATAGTAACCACTAATGATACTTTGAATTTTGTTTATTTTTTTTCAAAAAAACCAACATTTCATTTTATTAATCTTTTGTATTTCTTTGTTTCAATTATGTTTATTTCTGCTCCGATCTTTATTATTTCTTTTCTCCTACTAATTTTAGGTTTAGTTTGCTTTTGTTTTTCTAGTTTTTAAAGATGCATCATTCAGTTGTTTATTAAAAGTTTTTCTGCTTTTATTGATGAAAGTAGGTATTGCTGTGAATGTTGTTCTTGGTACTGCTTTTGCTGTATTTGATAGATTTTGGTATGTTGTGTTTCCATTTTTGTTTGTTTTAAGAAATTTTTAAATTTTCTTCTTAATTTCTTCACTGACTCAGTGGTCATTCAGGAGCATATTGTTTAATCTCCAGGTATTTGTATAGTTCTCAAAGTATCTCTTGTTATTGATAACTGGTTTCATTCCATTGTAGTCAGAGAAAATACTTGATATAATTTCAGTTTTCTGAACATCTTAAGATTTGTTTTGTGGCCTAACATATAGTCTATCCTTGAGATTGATCCATGTCCTAAGGAGAAGAATGTGTATTTTGTAGCCATTGGTTAAAATATTCTGTAAATATTTATTAGGTTTATGTGGTTTATAGTGCAGATTAGGTCCAATATTCCTTGGTTGATTTTCTGTCTGGATGATCAGTCTAATACTGAAAGTAGGGTATTGAAGTCTCCATGTTGTTTTGGGGTTGCTCTCTCTTTTTAGCTCTAATAATATTTGCTTTTATATATCTGAGCACTCCAGTGCTGGGTGCATGTATGTTTACAACTGTTTTTTCCTCTTGTTGAATTGACCCCTTTATCATTACATAATGCCCTCTTTGTCTTTTATTGTAGTTTTGTCTTGAAATTTATTTTATCTGATACAGCTACTACTGCCTTTTTTTTTTTTTTTTTTTTTTTTTTTTTGGTTTTCATTTGCATGGAATATCTTTTTCCATCCCTTATTTTTAGCCCATGTGTGTCTTTGTAGGTGAAGCATGTTTCTTGTAGACAACAGGTCATTGGGTCTTGTTTTTAAAATCTATTTAGCCACTCTATGCTTTTGATTAGAGAGTTTAGTCCATTTACATTCAATGTTATTATTGATAAGCATAAACTTACTACACTCATTTTTGTTATTTGTTTTCTGTTTCCTTCCTTCCTTCCTCTTCCTTTTTGTGAAAGGGATTTTCTCTGGTGGTATCTTTAATTTCTTGCTTTGTATGTGTTTTTTGTATCTGTTTTAGGTTTTTTGATTTAAAGTTATCATGAGGTTTGCAAATAACATCTTATAACCTATTATTTTAAACTGATGACAACTTAACTCTGATTGCAAAAACAAACAAGCAAAGACAAAAGTAACAAAACCTTTATACTTTAACATCATCTCCCCTGCTTTTCAACTTTTTGTTTATTTACATCTTATTTTACTGTCTATATCTTGACAATTTGTAATTATTATTTTTGATAAGTTCATTTTTAATCTTCCTGCTTAAGATATAAATAGTTTACACATCACAATTACTATGTTATAATAGTCTGTCTTTATCTGTATACTTACTGTTACCAGTAGCTTTATACCTTCAGATGATTTCTTATTGCTCACTAACATCCTTTTCTTTCAGATTGAAAAATTCCCTTTATCATTTCTTATAGGACAGCTCTGGTGTTGACAAAATCTTTCAGTTTTCATTTGTCTGGGAAAGTCTTTATTTCCCCTTCATGTCTGAAGGATATTTTTGCTAGATATACTATTCTAGGGTAAAAGTGTTGTTTTTTTTTCTTCAGTACTTTACATATATCACGTGACTCGTGTCTGGCTTGTAAGGTTTCCACTTAAAAGCCTGCTGCCAGACATATTGGAGCTCCTTTTTCTGTTACTCATTTTTTCTTTTCTCCTGCTGCTTTTAGGATCCTTCCTTTATCCTTGACCTTTGGGAGTTTGACTATTAAATGTCTTGAGTCAGTCTTTTTTGGGGTTAAATCTGGTTGGTGTTGTATAACTTTCTTGTACTTGAATGTTGATATCTTTCTCTAGGTTTGGGAAGTTCTCTGATATTATTCCTTTGAATAAACTTTCTGCCCCAATCTCTGTGTCTAACTCCTCTTTAAGGCCAATGACTTTAGATTTTCTCCTTTGAAGCTGTTTTCTAGATCTTGTAGATAATTTTTAGAGTGCTTTTTCTTTTGTCTCCTCTGAATATGTATTTTCATATAACGTGTTTCAAGCTTATGAATTCTTTCTTCTACTTGATTAATTCTGTTGTTAAGGACTCTCGTGCATTCTTCAGTATGCCCATTACAGTTTTCAGCTCCAAAATTTTTGCTTGATTCTTTGTAGTCATTTCAATCTTTTCATTAAATTTATCTGACAGAATTCTGAATTCCTTCTCTGTGTTATCTTGGATTTCACTGGGCTTCCTCAAAACAGCTATTTTGAATTCTCTGTCTGGAAAGTCACGTATTTCTGCCCCTCTGGGATTGGCCCCTGGTGCCTTTTTTAGTTCCTGTGGTGGGTAATGTTTTCTGTGGATAGTCTTGATGCTTGTAGATGTTCACTGATGTCTGGGAATTAAAGAATTAGGTATTTATTGTAGTCCTGGCAGTCAGGGCCTGTTTGTACCCATCCTTCTTGGGAAGGCTTTCTAAGTATTTAGACAGACTTGAGTGTTGTGATGTAAGTCTTTAGTCATTGCAGCCATATCTGCATTAGGGAGGACCCCAATCCCAGTAACACTGTGGCTGTTGCAGACTTGTATAGGTATCACCTTAGTGGTCTTGGGTAAGATCCATGAGAATCCTCTGGATTATCAGTCAGTGACTCTTATTCTTTTCCCTTACTCACCCAAAAACAAAGAGAGTCTGTCTCTCTGTGCTAAGCTGCCTGAAGCTGGGGGTGTGCTGACACAAGCACCCCCTGTGGCCAGCACCACTGCTAGTGCACTGGATCATACCCACAGCTAGCAGAGAACTGGGTCTCACCTCAGGCCTATGGTGACCACTGCCTGGTTCACTCAAGGCCCAAAAGCTCTACAAGCATCAGGTGGTAAATACTGCCAGGCTTATGTCCTTCTGCTTAGGGCAATGAGTTCTCCCTGGTCTTGGGAGAGTCCAGAGATGCCACCTGGGAGCCAGGGTCTGGTGTCAGGAACCTTACAAATCTACCCGGTTTTCTATTCTACTATGGCTGAGCTGGCCCCCAAGCCATGAGACAAAGTCCTTAGTCTTCCCTCTCCATTACTTAAAGAGAGGAGGCTCTCCCTGTGGCCCCCACCACCCCAGGCCTGTGGTGAGTACTGGCTGGCTACTGCCAATGTTCTATCAAGGCCTAAGAGCTCTTCAGTGAGTTTATGGTGAATGCTGCCTGCCATGAGTCTCTCCCTTTAGGGCAGTGGGCTTCTCTCTGGCCCAGGGAAGGTCCAGAAATGCCATCCAGGCGCCAATACCTGGAATCAGGGACAGTAGGAACCTACTTGTCACTCTATCCCAGTGAGGCTAAGCTGGTATCCAAGCTCCAAGATGAAGTCCCCTTTACTCTTCCCTCTTTTTTCTTCAAGCAAAATAAGTCTTTTCCTGTAGCCACCACAGCTGGGAATATGCTGGGTCACACCTGAAGCCGCCAGCATGGCTCTGAGTCTCACCTGAGGCCCGTGGTGAGTCCTGCCTGGCTACCACTACTGATTATTCAGGGCCCTAGGGCTCTTTAGTCAGCAGGTGATTAATCCTGCCAGAACTAGGACATTCCCTTCAAGGTAGTGAGTTCCATTCTGGCCGAGGGTGTGTCCAGAAATATCATCCCAGAGCTACGGCCTGAAGTAGGGGCCTCAGGACTCTGTCTGGTGCCCTATTCTACTATGACTGAGCTGGTATCCAAGTTGGAAGACAGTCCTTTTCACTGTCTCCTCTCCTGTCCTCAGACAGAAGAAAAGTGTCTCTCCTGGACCTGGGAGCTGTGCTGCCTGGAGTGGGGGAAGGGTGACACAAGCACTCCCTTGGCTACCCTAGCTGGTGTCTCACCAAGTCACATGCACCCTAAGCCCACTGGCTCCAAGCCCAGCACAACACCAGGACTTTCCGAGGAATTGCAGTTCTTGTGGCCCAGATTGCCTTTTAAGTTTATTTCAGGACCCCAGAGCACTTTAGCCCATGGTGGTGGGGCTTGCCAGAACTCAGGCTTTGACTGCTACGATTAACAACTTGCCTCTGGCTAGGGCTGGTCTAAATGTTCACTCCATGTGCACTGGCTGAATTCTGTCCCATGTTGCTTTCTGCTGTGACAGGGCAGCACTGGGTTCCAATGCAAAGTCCCACAGTCACTTTGCTCTCCCTCCCCCAAGCACACAGGATTCTCTTTCCGTGCCATGTGGCTGCTGATAAGGGTCATGTGATGTAGGTGATTCAAAATTCTCTTTCTTACCCTCTTCAGTGCCTCTTTCCTTGATATAAATTTAAAACTAGACACTGTAATTGCTCACCTGACTTTTGATTCTCATAAAGGTGGTTTTTTTGTATGTGGATAGTTGTTTAACTTGTTTTTCCTGCAGGGGGATCTCCAGAGGGTTCTATTTGGCCATATTTGTCTGCCTCATCCCCTATATTACCTATTAGTTTTGCTGGTTCCATCTCATGGCATCTTTTCTTCTTGTGTGCCTGATTATCTTTAATCATGTGACTTATCCTGTTATCAAACTATTATTTTTAGAAATAATTTGCGACCCAGGAAGAGCTTGTCTTTCTCTAAGGAGTATTTTTAAAAAATAGGTAGATTATGATAGTATGGGGGAGAGCTAGCAATTTGAACTCATCTTAATCCTAGTTCAGGGTTTGATATTTTCTCTGTTACCCAGATAGCTTGAAGGTGGCATACAGTCCATGGAAAGACTTATTTCTTTTGAGTTTATTCTCTTTTCTAAGATGCAAACATTCAGGGTGCAAAATGGGAGGTTGTTTTCTAAGATCCTCACTCTCTATTGCCTTCGATTATGATCTTTGCACTTTGTCCTTTAAGCTATCTCCAAAGCATAACTCTGTCTCTCAGTTATCACTTCCAGATTGATAAATGTCCACAGGACAAAAGCAGTGCCAACTGTGGGGCTCACCTTCCTGGATTCCTGTCTTCTTCCTAGATCTTGGCCTGGTAAGTTTTATAATGTCTTGTTGGTTCTCCGATGCTTAAAGAAATTCAAAAACATTTCACCACTTCTTTTTATCTGTCTTCAGTGGAAGGGTTGGTCTGAATAACCTAGTCCATCATTCAAAGTCCAGTTGGCTTTCCTTAAGGTTTTGCTAGATGGTTTTGTATTTCTAAACAATATATCATTCAGGTTCCTTTTCTGTGCTTATAAAAACTTTTTATATGGCATGTGTTTTTCTGAAAATTGTTTTTCAGTATCACCCCTGTTGATGTGTGTGGCTTTAGTTCATTTATTTTTGCCAATGTATAGAATTTCATTGTATAAATATATCAAACTTTATTTATTAATTGTCCTATCAGTGGGTATTTGGGTTATTTTCAATTTATTTGCTATTATGAACAAGGCTACTATTGAATTCATAACATTTAGTGAACATATTTTAAAAGAGAGCTTAGTAAATTAAGAGATATATCATGTTCATGGACACACTGCAAACATGTCTGTTTTCCCCAAATTGATTTATAGATTCAATTTATATATATATATATCAACTTCAGCATGCTTATTCCCATGGAGAGTCCATTGCTCATTAGGCACCATGCTGCTCTAGAGACATATGGAAAAATAGAAGATGGTTTCTGACTTCCACAAAATAGTTGTTTTAAATATCGCTTTATCTTCCACCTCTTCTTTGCTCAAAGTAATAACTTCTTTTAATTGAGAAAAAGAAGGCCAAATTAAGTAAATACTTTTAACTTTAAGTAGGTGTTATGCTATGAAGTACAAAGTATGAAGTATGTTCTAAATATTCTAAATCTAGAACACTTTCACCTAGGACATGTTCTGAGAATCACATTCCCGGGTGATAGCAAATAGTCACAAATAAAATTAGGGAGAGGAATACAGGGCACACAGATGTTACTTGCGTTATTTTCCTTTATAATTATTCTTTAGTATTTACTCAATATTTAACAGAAACAATTTTAAAAACTGTTTTATGATAGAGGGGAAAATGTGTTAGAGGCTTATGTTGCAATTCTTAGTTTGGATGGTAAGCTCATGAGTATTTGTTTTATATGCATACACATTATATAAACACACACATACGCAATCACATCTATACTTCCATATGTATCAAATGTTACAAAATACATCATTAAAAGTGTCAGGAACAGATCACCCCTCCACCTTTATCCCCAACCCCATACATAGTGGATTCACTCCTTCCCAGTCCTGTATCTCGGTGCACTCCACCCAGCCCCCTCAGCCCCATACCCCAGTGTGCCCCAGCCCTGTCCCAGCCTCCACTGTGTCCTTCCTCCCCTCACAACTGCCCCTCAGCTGATTTCTCCTGTGCAGCACAGACTCCCTGGAGAATGCAGATTGGTTTCAAGGGTGAAGACAAGCCGCCTGCTAGGGGTAGCAGTGGACAGCAAGAAGCTGTGCCCCCGGGCAAGAAGCCACAGTAGCAGCTCGCCTAAGAGCATAAGCAGTTCTTTCTCCCACTGGGTTCACAATGGCCTGGGGATAGCCCATTGCCTAGACTAGTGCTTAGCAGGGACTGCAAACTCAGGATTGGATTGCCACACAGGTCATGGCCCAGCTGGTGTCTGAGGAGGGCGTGGACAAGGATGTGCTTCTCACCCAGCTGCTAAAGTCCAACGAGTCCATCAATGCCTTCTGCCGCTTCCTGGCAGAATGAGACTTTCGAGCTTGGGCCTCCAGGTCACCCTCCTTCTCAAAGCTTGACTCAGTCAATAACAGAGAGGGAGGCAAGTCTTTAATGAACTTGAAGACTATCAATCTGAAAATCTTAATTAAGAAATTCGTCCTCTTGAGTGGGGTGGGTTCAGGGAGATCAGGAAAACAAGTGAGAGAAAGCTTTTGCTTCAGAGTCAAGTTGTGTGGCCTTTGTGTTGGCCTTTGTGCTTTGCCCTTGGTTGCCATAGATAAGGCCTAATAAGCTTGGGTCAGGGGCCTAGGCCCTCTTGATCCAGCCTACAGGCCGGGTCAAAGGCTAATGACACTTATGTGACTTTTGCCAGGTCTCTAGCTTGGTGGTATGCTCACTGCATCCTGGGAAACTTCAATGCCATTTTAGGCCCTGCTCTGCTTTGTGGATAGCAGCTGAATTCCTAGATGCTCCTGGTCCTTCTTCCTGAGATTCAGGTCTGAGTCCAGGCTGCTTTCTTCTTCTCTTGGACAACCACCACCTTCTCTAGTCCTTGATGTTCCCTTCTCTAAATACTGGCTATGAAATGAATGAGTCTCCAAACCTTTTTCTAAGATACTTGCCCAGTTCCCTTTTGTTTCATTTTTATTTTACTAAGGCAGGACCATTCTGGTGAGATGCTCTCTCCTCTCATCTCTGGTTCAAGGGTTCCCCACTGACTTGGCTGAGCCTTTCTTGGAACTGGTCTGCAGTCTGAAACTCTTCCTAGCCAACCGTCCTTCCTGTCCTCTCTCCTTCCATGGTGTCAGTACTGCATCATTGTCTGAGGCTCTCTTCACCTTTTTCTGCATCTTCTCCTAACAACTGTCTTTCATTTCATTTCTAATCCCATTTTTTTTTGAGTTGGAGTCTCACTCTGTCATCCAACTAGAGTGCAGTGATGCAATCTCTGCTCACTGCAAGCTCCACCTCCCAGATTCCAGTGATTCTCCTGCTCCAGCTTCCTGAGTAGCTGTGATCACAGGCACGTGCCACCATGCCTGGCTAATTTTTGTATTTTTAGTTGAGACAGGGTTTCACCGTGTTGACCAGGCTGGTTTTAGACTCCTGACCTCAGGTGATCCACCCACCTCAGCCTCCCAAAGTGCTGGGATTACAGGCGTGAGCCACCTTGCCTGGCCTTGAATCTCAGCTTGATGTCTCCTTCTCGGTGAGCCTGAATTGATGAACTAATGCAGCCTTTCCTTTTTAGCACACAGGCCTGTAGAAGCAACACAAGCTGGATCAAAATATTCCTTCTGAAATGTGGGTTTCTGACATACTTCACAGAGGGGCACACACATCCTCATGAGTACAAGTGGAGATATCCTCTCCTGGGGATTCTATTATACCTCCTTATGTATCTGGGACTCAAAACTGTCTGTCAGCCTCTGATCAGAGATCTGGAGACTAGAAGCCAGTGCTGGAATTGGAGCCAGCTGCAGGTGTGGGAAGAAGCCCAGGAAGGTGGAGCTCCATGTCTAGGGCAGGAAGACCTGATGAGAGGAAGGTAGAATATATGGGTAGACAGGCAGAGGAATACAGCGACCTGGGAGATGGCTGAGGTGAGGGGTCTAACAAACTGCACTCTTATCCTCAGGTATAAGGCCAAACCCAAGACTAATCCTTGAAGACAGGAACAGAGCCAACACCTGATCTCAGAGGAACTGGACCATAACTGGGAAAAACTGGACAGGATGCTGGCCACATTGGCTCAGTGGTGCATCATGTGTCCTTATGCGCTAGGGCAGGACTTCTTGAAGTCCTACTGATTGGGAACAAGGTTAGAATCAGAGTCTCGGGTAGAAAGAATTTGAGAGTGAGGTCAGGTGGAAAGGGGATGGTGGGGGGGCTCAGGAAAAGAGAGGTTCCTTCATGAGTGGAGAAGGGTGGGAATCTCCTTAGGTACCTGTCTGTTCTGTGAGCCATGCAAAAGGCTGCAGCAATGCTGTGTGCTGTCTTCCTGGAGGGCACTTAGGAAGAACACTGGGCAGGCTAAATTTGGGGTACATCTTACTTTGTGACAATCGCTAGCCTGAGCTCTGCATTTTCATGGGCGTGACAGGCATATATGAACATTTCCCAAAGTGCAGCAATTGGATAGGTCAGCTCTTTAGCAGCACCATGAGCTGAAGAAGCTTTGAAAGACCCTGACAGATGCTGGAAGTTCCTGCTAATGCCACTAATGGAAAATGTGGACATTTGAGAGCGGACTGCTCTCTTTAGCCTTTAATTCCAATTTCCTTTCCAAATCTATCTTCAACCCAAATTGCTACAAAGGGGAAAACTGACATACTAAACCTCTTCCTGGGCTCAGGCTTAACAAAGGCATAAACAGTTAAAAAATCTCTACAGAGGGAAGGAGGAGTAGCGAAGCTTTTCGTAATGCAGATGCTGCAATGTCAATTCCCAAATGCACTGAGATGGCTAGCAAGTGGCAGAGCCGATGTAGAAATGGGACAAATTCTAGGAAGCACATGGGTGCCAGTGGCAGGCAGTGAAGCCAACAGCCACGGTAGACCAGACAGCAGGGAAGTAGGAGGCTGAGAGTTCAAGAGGAACCATATCAAATGCTGTTTCTCAGGTTTGCCCCTTTGAAACATTCTCCCTAGTGCCAGCTAAATATTCAGATTCCCAGGTCTCTCTCAAGACTTGCTGCTTTGGAATATCCAGATGATGGCCCTAGAATGTTTTTAACAAGCGTGTTTAGGAAACACTGGTACAGAAGAAAGTGAATCCTAAATCAGAAGATTTGACTGCTTAACTGAATCGTCTGTTGGCCCTCTGATGAAAATGTTTGCTTGGATTTGTGTCTCATGGTTTCTACCCCTGCTATGATCTCAGACTCTGTGCTAATGTGGAAATATTACTTTGATGCAAACATAGAATGTTATAACTCAAAGGACTATTTCAAAGGCTAGGGAAGGAGGCAGCAGGCACTAACTGCTTTCTAGATACTCTGTTGGGCATTTTTACATGCAATATCTCATTTATTTCTTGTAGCAACCTCAGGCAGGTAACTTTTTTTTCTTTTACACGTGAGGAAAGTGAGGATATCATACGCTAAGTAACTTGTCCCAAATCATGCCTTCACAAGGGTCAGAGCTAAAGATTTATTTGAATGCTTTTTGTTTGACATTAAAGCTCTTCACCTTTCTACCTAAATATATTGCTTTTGATATCATTGAGACTTCATTTTGGGGAGAAGGAAATGGAGGCACAGAGGCACAAAGTGACTTGTAGAAAGCTACACAGAGAGTTCTGGTGGGTCCGGGATGGGATCCTAGGACC